GCACCCGCGCGGCTTCAGAACACTGCTGCTGTTGTTGCTGCTGTTGTTGCTGTTGCGACGGGCGCACGACATGTAGCGGGCTCTGGAGCCGTTGCTGCTGATGCAGTTGTAGTTGCGGAGATGACAGTTTTGCGGCGCCGCGCCGTGACGACGGAGAGGGCGAAGGGGCAGGCGAGGAGTTCAGGAGGGACTGCAGGGTGCGACAAGTGCCCAGGAGACTGTTGCTGGCGATGAAGCTGAGGCCATCGGAGGGGTGGGAGGAGGGAGGTGTAGTGGGGAAGAGGGAGCGCGGACGTGGGGGGTGTTGAGGGTGGTATTGGTAATTGTTGTGGTTGTTGTGATTGTTGTGTTGGCGCGAGTCGCACGAGAGGGCTGAGGGGAGGAGCATGGTGAGTTGGAAATTTTTTTTTTTTTTTTTTTTTTTTTTTTTTGCAATTTGATAGGAGAATATTTGATTGAATTGCACTAAGGAGTGCTTCTGTAATATTTTTTTTTTTTTTTTGTTTAACTTATTTAATAAAAATGGCTCGTTCGACGAGGCTTGTTGTGGTTGTGGGTATATTTATTAGGACGAGCGACAAAACAAAAACAGGCAGCCACGCACTGGTGGTTGCGCCGGGTCGGATTCTGGATGGAAACGGGGTGAAACGGGCAGGAGAAATACGGCGCAACGATGGAAGTTGGCTATGCGCTTCAGACGGACGATGGCAGAAGGCAGTGCGACAGCTGGGTGTGGAGGGGAGCGGGCGAGAAGGAGTTGGCGGAGGGTTGGATGGGAGGGAATAAAAGGGCGTGGATGGATGAGCAGGATGGTTGGGCGGGTTAGTCAGACGGGAAAGTGGGAAGAAAAAGGAAAAACGACAGAAACGACAAGCCGTCGAGACCCTTGGGGGGGGTGGGAGCAGCCGGAGGACCGTTGGGCCAGCGTGCAGGGGTAAAGCGCCAGGGGCAGGACAGCAGCAGACTGTGGCAGACTGTGGGCAGTGTGGGCACTGTGGGCAGTGGTCACGCAAATCGCCGGGCCAGGGGCGGTGGCGGCGGGCTAACCGGCTCCAGGCAGGGCCCAACGGGGCCACGGCGAGGATTCTTCCACGCTAACAGGGCGCCGTTGTCTTCAGTGGCTCCGCACTCTGCGGCAAAGAGAATGAAGGGAGAAAGAAACCCAGTTTTGCGGCGAGAATCAAGAACCGCCGTTCGCGGGCCTGGTTTGACTTTTGCTTTGACTTTGCCGTGCCCTGTTTGGATCCAGTTCCCAGCAGCGTGGTAGATTCCGGCTGGGTGGGCCGTTTCCTTTTTTCTTTTATCCGCCGGACGCTGTGCCCGGGTTGAAACTTGACTGGTTGAAACTCTACACAAAGGGTTCAATGGCAATGATGGAGTTAAATGCTTATCACTTATGAGCGTAACTAGAACTGCAAACCAAACCAATTTTGATGATAAACAGCATCTTCGATGATATAATAACTGACTGCCATGACTACTAGTAGTGAAAACGAGCATCTCTGCACCGTGGAGGCCAAAAGGCACTTCGGGCTGGGATGTGATATGGACCACATCTCACACTAGAAACATTGTGGTCAGAGAATGCACGCGATGCTATCATAGATATAAATGTCTGAGGCAATCCTGCAACTAACCTTTTTGAGTGACAACGTTCAGGCATTTCATTGTGTTTTTCTTCCTCTTGTCTCTCTGAGCTGCCATGAAATGGGTTTCAGATTTCCCATTTCTCTCTTTGACAGCTTTATGGTTATTGTGCTGTATGTACTTTTGTGTCATGTTACCGCGGGGCAATCATGGGTGGGATTAACGGACCTTCTGTAAAACATGCAGTCTTCTGTGGGAGGCTTTTCCACTACGCCAAAAAGGATCAGTCCTGAGGGTAGCCACCTATTCCTCAGGAGAGAGATAGAGATATATATATATATATATATATATATATACTAAGTATAGTAATGCATTCTTCACCCCTCCCCTCCTCCTTGTCCACCACCAAATCTACGTCCAATCTCGCAGTAAGACCTAATGCTTGGCTCCCTTGAAAATTTACCGGAAAGTTGAAATTATAAACAGAAAGCAGACACTTCTTTCTCATAATCCATATATCGTTGCCATGCCGGAAAGGAGTGATCATATAAGACCCATTCCGGCCGGCAACAAAAAGTGGGTTGACGTAACTAATCGATAATCGAGTCGGTCACCTCTCACCCTGTAGCACAGCAAGAAAGTCCTGGTGTAATGATATTGCAATGATAACTACATGTAGCAGAATGTATCAATCAAGCAACTGGATCCATTGAACGCGAAAATGTTGAGATGGCATCGCATGGCTTTGGTGGAAGTCAAGAGATCACCTTGCGTGGTATATAAGCCAATTTTATCGCCCCCGTCTTGGTAGTCGCAATCCCAAGGTGCTTGATGATGCCTCCATGGTAACCCAGGCGTTCGTATATATCTCTCCCTCGAGCCTGATAAGGTCACGAAAGACCTTGTTTGTATTTGTAGCTGGAATGGTCAGGAAAAATGTTTCAGGTGTCTAATCACCTGGGAATCATTGATTTGGTGAATTTCTCCAAATCAACCGATTGCTATACAGCCTGGTCGTTTCTTTGCAATGATTGGGGATGGGCAAGGTTGTCGTTGAAGCAGAAAAGGCTCTAAGTATAAGTATGTATTGCGCCCCTCAGATCGTGCGCCACAGCAGGCACCCGCAGGCAGGAGGACCGGCTTAAGGCGATCAATTCCAGCAGGGGGAGAAGAAAGAATAAGAGTGCGTCTTTCTTCGTATCATGATTGGTGTCGCTCGCTGCAGAGCGGGGCAATAACACTGCTATCGGCTGCCATAGATATCAAAGACGCAATCCATTGCTTGACCGTGGATTGGATTGACAATGAATGGCTGGTTGAATTTCCCAGCTGCATGTCTCTCTCTATCTACCCCTTACGCTGTGACACAAAAAGCAGAGTCCGCTGCAGGAGGGACATTCCAGGAACCAAACCCTTCAAGACTGTTTCTTTTTCCTTTTCATAATCCACCCACACACGCAATCGGAAGTTTCAGGATGTTCCGTGTTTGACTGCTTCTCTGCCGTTCTTCTGCTCAGGCCCATCACATCTTTCTCATCTTTCACTCTGCTCCATTCTCTTGTCCCCCTGAGTATCCTTGTTACGAGGAGAAGCATTCAATGATCACGCCCAGATGGCTAGTCTATTAGTGGCCAATTGGCAAGATTCCTGTCTGGCTTCCCGGCCACCATCACTAAATTAATCAACCCCAACGTTCGATGTAATGCCAGGCACACGTTCGCAATTTGCTGGATATGAGCTCCCATACGCAGTGAGAGAATGCGTGAGGTTCATTAGTTAAAGTTATTATTTGACCTGGAATTTTTATTTTATTTCATTTTTTTCTCTCCCGCTACTGCTGTCGGTCAGCCAGGAAAACTCAATGCGTAACTACGGAGTACAGAAAGTTAAAAAAAAAAAAAGGTCCGCACCAAGTGGATCCGTTCCATCTTGAAGAATTCGAAAACCTGCCGATGGAAGAAGCCCAGATTTACCCGATCTGATAACAGGCGGACCCATCATGCTTGAACTGGCTGGCAATAATATTCAGTATTAAGGCAGATTATGACTGGGTTACTCCTCTGATCTATATGTCTATCTATATATATATATATATAACAGTACGTATGAATAAAAAACTACAGTTTTGGCACTTACTGATGACAACCATTAACCCTCCAAGGGCTCTCATGAACGGACGGATGCTCGTCTGTGATTCGAGACCTGCCTAGCTGGCTTTCTTCTTCTTCTTCCTGGACACCAATCCAGCCTGAGAATTGATAGATCAACTCAACTCATCAAGCATCATTCCAATTCTAGAACCCCCCCGTTCGGCATCTTGAAACATTGCAATGTCCGCGGCTCTTGAAAAAAAAAGAAAAAAAGCCTTTTCCATCCTTCCCATCCCTGCCTGCACATCCTCCCCCTATCCTATCCGTCCGCCATTCCAGACCAAGCCTCTCAACTCCCTTTATTTTTGTATCAGGGCCCCGCATTGACTAGTCTAATTAAACCGGCTACGCGCCAGCCCTCTATCGCCACGAGAAGACGAGATGGACACGACACCAACCACAACAACAACATCAGCCTGAAATTAAAATTAGTTAGAAATACACCAAGCGAATGATTGAATGATGGATCTCTCAGGATCCAAACCCCTGAA